TATATATATATATATATATATTATTTTTTTTCATGTGTACATAGTCCTAAACCTCATTCATAATAAATGAAAACTATTACAACGCTCGTGTATTACACGGGTGCTTGCTAATTTTTTCTTAAAATATAAAATTAATGAGAAAAGTAGTTGAAAATTTAAATACTTTTTATAAAAATATATATTATTATATATTTAGTATGACATTTTTTTATTTGTGCGACTTACTTGTGTTATATTATAATAATTTTTTTTAACTTAGAACTTATAACTACATTAAACATAAATATATCAATTGAGAAATAATTTATATTTATAATGAATTTGAATAAATATTATTATTTTTTATTATTATAAAGATAAATATAATTTATTTATTTAATATATACAATATGGATGTCAAATCAAAGATCATCAAAAGATGATTAATTTGATATATTATATATGTAAAACCGATAAGAAATACAAAAGTTATCCGCTTTTAAAATATATTTACATTTCAATAGCTAATTAAAAGAAGGAAATCAAAAGACAGAGATATATTAGTCACTTAGTGTTTCACTATATAAAATACAAATACAAAGAATTAAAGAGTTATATTAGTACAAGTGATATTAAAATACCTAAGTTAGTTAAATAATATTTATGGAATGTCCGAACCTAGATTATTAATTATCCTCCTTATCTATTATTCTCGAATGCGCTGAGCCTACGTGGCTGTTTCTGGTGCTTCGGAATCCTACTTGGCAAAGGATCATGATTCATAATTAGGTTTGGACAAATAATATTGATATATTAATAACTAATAATGTAGGTTCAGACATTCCATAAATATTATTTAGCTAACTTAGGTATTTTAATATAACTTTTACTAATATAATCCTTTAATTCTTTGTAATTTTACATAGTGAGACACTAAGTGACTAATATATCCTAACTTTTGATTTATTTCCTTCAATTAACTATTGAATTGTAAATGTATTTTAAAAGTTGATAACTTTTGTATTTCTTATCGGTTTTACATATATAATATATCAAATTAATTATCTTTTGATGATCTTCGATTTGACATCCATATTGTATATATGAAATAAATAAATCATATTTATCTTTATAATAATAAAAAATAATAATATTTATTAAAATTCTTTATAAAAATAAAATTATTTCTCAATTGATATAATTATGTTTAATTTTGTTATATGTTGTAAGTCAAAAAGAAATTATAATATAACACAGGTAAGTCGCACAAATAAAAAAGTGTCATAGTAAATATATAATAATATATATATTATTATAAAATGTATTGAAATTTTCAATTACCTTTTCTCATTAATTTTAGATTTTAATAAAAAATAAGCAAGCACCCGTGTAATACACGGGCGTTGTACTAGTTAATACTCCCTCCTTTTTTAAATAAATGTCATTTTGACTTTTTTAATTCATCCATTTTGCTATGTATCTAGACATTAATATGTCTAGATACATAGCAAAATGGATGAATCAAAAAAGTTAAAACGACATTTATTTTACAAAAGAGGTAGTATTATTTGTCCAAATCTAATCACGAAATATAATTTTTCGTCAAGTAAGATTTTTGAAGCACCAAAAGCAGCTAGCGCATTCCGGAATTATATATAGGGGATATCAACACCGAATTCCAAAAGCCGCCCCATTTTCACCGAGCGCATTATGCCAAAAACATTTTTCTCCATCTAACTGACTTTTTACCCTTTTCATTTATTATTATAATCCCAAACATAAATTAGTGATTAATAATCTAATCACATATTTTTAAGTTATTTTATTCTCCTCCTATTCTCTTTCTTATACCCATTCATTTTCCTCTCCCCTCTATCTTTGCACAAGCACAATTTTTTCCTAATTGCACAATCGAAATTGTTCCTCAAGATTGATTTTTTTTTTTTTTTTCTCTGCACAATTCGTCGATATTTATCCTTAGATTCGATCTCTGTAATCTCCAGCATTTACTGATCAGAGGTATCAAGAAAAGCTCCACATAAACTTTTTTTCTTGAACAAGAACAAGACGGATAATTGTTACAGGAAAAAAGGTTTTTTTTTTTTGTTT